CCCCAAAACCCCAAAACCCCTTGTTTCATTATTCAAGCAAAAATGTCAGTATAATTAAAATATTTATAATTGAAATTTAATGTACATTAAATGCAAAACTTTTCTATTGGATTAAGATTAATAAGAGAATATTAATTATATTAGATTAAGCTGTATTTATAATAATTTTAACCATTTAACTAATCTATCGATGTTTGGATCACATTCTCACAAAACTCAGGCAGTGGGCGGATAAAACTCATAAAATAGTAATTTCTCCAACTAGCCAATGTTACAAATAAATTAAGAAACCAATAGTCAGTCTTTCGGTTAACTATCAGCAATTCATGATTAAAATATTCAACAAATATAAGACGGACTATTACTTTCAATCGAGCTGAACCATATATTTTCTAGCGAGCCTTCTTAATAGAATATGCCCTAAAATAGTATAAATGCTGGCTCAATTTATGGATATAGCGCCAGTAATCAGGCTAACTAGATTAGCATTAGCAATTTTAAAGAAGCAATGATAAAGTTTGGGGTTAAATTATTTGATCTTAATGGTAAATGCTTATAAGAGTTTAATCCTTACCTTCCATTAAGCAAAATCTAAGATTTTAAAATTGAAATACTAAAGCAGCAAGTTTATGCAGTAGATAGTATATATCAACAAGAAAAGGAGACAAAGTATTCTATCAACATTAACTATTGAAATCAAGGTGAAAAAATTTCAGAGTTTAAAAATAAGCTTTTGTCTACTTCCACTACTTTTGAAAACAAGCACAAATGCCCAGTATTCATAAAAAAAGATCCGTAAACTATAGATGACTAGCAATATTAAACTTTTGAAAATTTGATTAGTGCATAAATTGCAGGTAAAAAGAATTAATCTGAAGATAAGAGTCATCCATTAAGAATCACTAAGTCTAATGGCATTTAAAAAGTAAACTAATCAAAAATATAAGCTAAATAGAATGTGTAAAAGCCTTATAATCTTGAAGAATATAAATTTTAAGATAAGGAAGACATAGAATTAGATGAAGCTATACTAGAAAAAATTTTATCTCAGACTTATCAAATAAAAGGAAAAAGTAAAGATATGAAATCTGGACTTGATTTCAATGTAAATTTGTTATTTTAATGAAAATTTAGGGCAATCTTCATATTGAGCAAGTAGACCCAATGACAGCGGCAGGATAAATTACGAGTTAATAGAAGTTATAAAATTTGGAAGTGTTTAACGATAGCTACAGATCATCTCTCAAAAATAATTCAAAAGCCAAGCCTGCAACTGATTATACTTTAAATGGCTCAAGACCTTAAAATAAATGATCAATCAATTTATAATTTATACTAAGCAATTAACTTTACAATTCAAATATAATCTAAGATATTAATGAGTATTTATTGTCAAGTACGGGGTTTTGGGGTTTTGGGG